GGTTATCCAATAATAGAAATTTTTTCATTCCTAATATGGAAAAAATAAAATAAACATAAAACTGTCGCTTTTCTCGTATGACGTCAAATATCTTGCCCAAAGATTCACTTGGCCATCCGACCATCCACGCGTCCTCATCATAAAGCAACAACTTAATCTATTGCACTTGCATACCTCTCACGTGTCGCCCTTGCTTTGTAGTATATGTGATGTGTGACACTGTGAGGGGTCTTCCATCCGAGAGTGCGTCTCACGCAGGTCGCCTCGCGTGTAAGCTTTTAGAGGTTATATTTGGGAAACCGAATTTGATGTTCTTTGCGAATGAAAAACCACCACGTATAAGATTTCTCGAACCTCCCCAAAGGCCAACATTACTACGCTAAGCTCGAGGTAGCCCCACGTGTACCTTTCCTTTCGGCAGTGCCTGACACCTTATGCCCTCTCATTGGATCAGATGTGGGACCCTACTCAATTACAGCCGGAGTTGCTACTTTTCCAGTGGGCCCCACACCCCAAAAGAATTAACCAATGAAATCCCATCGTTGTTGCTTTGGAGGGTGTAGTGTAGCCCTAGCAACTCAGGTGGTGTGTTGTGTTTGTTTCTCCACAGTCCACGCCCCCTCACCTCACTGGCGAGTATAACAGCCGCCGCTACTAATATAATTATCTCTTCATTTTGAGCTCCCACTCCGACGAGAGTGAAAGAAAGAAAGAGATACAGGGAGGGGTGGCTATTTGTTGAAGATCGGAGGAGGCGTATATATGGAGGGCGGAGATGGGTGGCAGATGCTAAGATGCGCTGGTGGGGAGGTAGATAAGTCAGTTACTACGAATCGGACCATGCTCAGATTTCGGCCGATCGCACCGAAACCGGTGGATACCGGAGCCACAGCTCCGACCGAAAACAAGAACTCAGTTTTGACAAGTGGAAGAAAGAAGAGAAAATACGTTAGGGTTCAGAACAATAGTGGGTATACTAGAAGAAAGAAAAAGGAACAAGAAATTACAAAAGGCGACCTTGCAGCTCCTCCTGATGGCGTGGTGAGGACCCTGCAGCTCTTGCCTGAGAGTACTGTTACCGACCACTCAACGGACGGCGGATCTTGGTACGCTTTAGATCATACGGTAAGTAATAATAATAAGAATCCTCCCATAGGGGAAGATCAGGGCCTCCCCATGTGGTTGAGCAGTTACATGGGTGGTGGTTGTTCAGATCCGACGGTGGGGATGCAGTTGCAGCAGATGATGGTGAAGTCTTTGGTGACAGTGGAGTGCGTGACAGGCACTTGCATGAATGTGCAAGGGACGTTTGGGGTTGGGAGATGTACGGACGCAGATAGGATGAGGAATCTGGAGGGAGACACGTGTCCGGGGTTTATATCGGACGGTGAGAATAGGGTTCAGTGGCTGAACGGGGCGTTTAAGAGGATGGTGAGCCAAGGGAATTACACATCGGAGATAGCGGTGTGGTTGGCGATAAAAGAGAAGTTGCCGTACACGCATTGGGCGTTCACATGTCAAGTAAAGCTGCAATACATGGTGGGCAAGGAGAAGTACTCTCGAATGGTGCCTTGTGATTTGTGGAGAATGGACGGTGGAGGATTTGCATGGAGGCTGGACGTTAAGGCTGCCCTCACTTTGGGCCGTTGAGTGGTCGATCATTTAGTTTTATAGATACGTAGATGGAATGGAAGACTGAACCCCAAGAATAACAGATCTCAGGTAAATATATTCATTATATACATAGATAATTATTAGGCATATATGTATAGAACACACACACATTTGTATGAGTTGGGTGCAGTGATCAACTTCACCAATTAGAGTTGTGTACGTAGAGAATGGAATCAATACTTGCTTTTAGGATAAACAAGGATTATAAGCATGGCAAAACTTGATTCGTGGGTAGGTAGGACAAATTCGCAAGATATTATTAATCAGTCATTTTCTTTTAATTAGCTAGATTAACAAACAGAAAAAGAAAAAGGAAAAAAAAACAAGATATGTATAGTGAGTGAATGAGTGATGCTTGCTGGGTGTACAGTGGTACCATGTGCATCGATCATTCTAACGGGGTAGGTCTCAATAATATTTATATAAAAAAAGCGACAAGTACATTTAATTTGAAGATAACATGAGACGATAATTATAAACTATCCATCTTGATGACATGTTTATAGCAAATTAAACATTAATGCTTAAATATCAATACGTACAATGTGTTCATATGGGTAGGTCAATTAATAAAGATATGACTTAATATGACAGCTAGGATACTGGCATTTGCTTAATTTTGATATTAGACTGCTTCGTTGTTGTAATGGCCCTTTGTGACTATTTTGTATTGGTCATTTGTTATAGCTGATTTGTGACTAGTGACTTTGTTATAGCTGAATTATGAATGCAATCCTAAAATTTCTTTAAAAAGAAAAAAAAAGAAAAAAAAAATCATATTAGCATTGGCTTCATCTAGTTTCTTCTTACATATTATTTATGGGGAACTATTTTCTTTTTCATATTTTATTTTGTGAGAATACAACTCTTTTTTATTTGAGAAATTAAGAATTTACGTTTGAATTCCCAAATGAACTATAATCTTAAGAAAATAATAGAGTTTTGCATGTGTATTATTGCAAAATATATAATTACATATTGAACTTCTCTTTTACTTTTATCTGAGCACATAATAGTCCTTTCATTCACTTTAAATTACATGCATGCATGCTATGTTCATATGAATTAATTGGTCAGAAAGAAAAAGGTCATACATGTTTCAGCTTTGTGGAACCAGCTGGAATTATACAGTATACAGACGTACATAATACTTGATCGATGTCTCAATCAAACTTAGATTTTACTTAGGATTTAATTAGGAATTGCGCAAAAATTATATATTCTTTTTTTCTGTTCGGATTTCAATAAGGTCATGAACTCTGTTATGGCTATTTCTAACATTCAATGTACTCTACGGATAGAGGAATACAAAGAGTTGAACATAGGAAAATAAGAAATTGAAAGATTTCAACAATTAAACAGATTCAATTGACTAGAATAAATAAATAAAAATAAAGCTATATTGTTTATAGTATATAGAGGCTGGACTACCAACAATACCTACTGCGCTTAGCATCTAATATTTAATTAAACTTTGCATTTGAATTATAAAATCCTATCTTCTGTGTTAATTCTTTTTTATTTTTAGTACAAGTGATAATATAAAATATAAAGGGAGGTGAGTTTCTCTCTCACACACACACTACCAAGATGTCATAAGGGTTTGAACTTGAGACTTCTAATATGCTAGTCGATACTCTTTTCACTGATCTAGACTCTGTTGGCAAAAACTGTGCGGCTTTTGTGTTATTCTTCTTTTAATCCAGAGCTTGGGTGGCAATAGAAAACTCATCATGATAGGAAATTATTTCCCCAAACCTCCTAGCCAACCACATATTATTTTCTTCCTGAAATTTCTGGGGGCAGGGACAAGGATGAGTTTGATTAACTTTGTTTTGAATAAATGGTCAATCCAACTTAAACCGCCATTGAAACTGCATCTTATCCCATATATAGGCAGATTATTGTTTTTTTTCCTTATTTTGATATATGTTAATATTTAAGTTTTGTTGGTTTGATCCACCAACAGGGTTTGATCTTAATTTGTGAGGCGGCCAGCTTCTGATGAGGATCTGAAGAATAATTGCAAATAGAGTCTTGAAAGTGTATATTGGTACGTAAGCAGTATCAGATTATTAAATTGTTAATTAGCAACCGATGAAAAGGTATATATAATGGAAGTGGAGTGCTTTGGAAGAAATCTAAACAGATTTAGCAACCGCAAAAGGGCTGCAACATGCGGTATGAAGCTAAGAGAAGACATGCATGAAGCTATGTAAAAACCTCTGTTAGAACACCATCTAGTGTTTCAAACCTGGTATGTTTTATGTTTTTCCTTTTCTTTTTTAATCCAGTAATGCACGTCTTCATCAGAAATCAGTACTTCTCCATTTTGTCTTCATCAAGTTTCTGCCATTAATTGTTTCCATCAGCATCAGCATCAGCATCAGAATCAGATACATATATATACCTCTAGAGCTTATCGTGGCCCAATTATTGAAGAAAGACTTTCATGCAACGGGAATAGTACTTTTTACTATTCTCAAACAATAATGCAATAACAAGTAAGATAAATTTTTCACATGCCATTGTGTTATTGGTTGGAGATAGCAAACCAGTGCTATCCCGTTACAAGTAAGTTTTTCTGCGATCATTGGCTTTTCTTCATATATAATCACGATCACATCATAAACTTGAAGGTCACTTTCCTGATGGGAAAACTTTATTATATTTGTCGATGGTGTTGACAACAATAACAAGCCGTTATAATTTAGAATTTTCAGGAACTGCTAACAACTTTTGACTCTCGTAATCATTAATAATCTTCACCCAGTATTTGTGAAACGTGCTTAATTTCCCGAGGCTTCAAATTCTCATACAATATCTACTTGATCAACTAGGTTGATTGCTTTTGATTCCTAATCGCTTAGCTTAATTATCATTTTTAAACTTTGCATGAATTAACATATCTTAATATCAAGGGCTGGCATAAGATGATTGGATGGAGATGAGTCAAGTTACTCTTTGGCCATGCCCATGCATATACATACGTATAGCTGGCCGCCTAACCACTGAGTAGAAAGTAGAATAGATGCCTCCAAAGCTGGAGCTATCTAAACCTTAAGATTATAATATTATAATCTCAAGCCCGAATCTATGGAGAAGCAGCTACGGGCGTATAAGAGCTTACCAGCGCCGCAGTTTATTTCTTTTTTGTTTTTGTTTTGTTTTTTTCGATAAGGAGCAACAAGAGCCCCAAAACCAAAGGATATTTCTTTTATGTTTTTGGTTACTAGTTTATGAGCGTCCACCCTCACGACCACAAAAATTGTAAGTTTGTTCACTGCAGACTGCCATGGTTACAATCAAATTCATTCAAGCAAATTTGCAATCTCATCTATTTCAGTAAAAAACAAAGTGTGATGATGCATTAATAAGATAAGCAAACCTACTTTTGAAATGCAAAGATTTATGAAGTTACAATCACAGATGAAATACTCGAAACAGAACAGGGCAAGTTCGTTCACTACTCAGTAAGCTCTGCAATCTGCATAGCTAGCTCACTAGGAAGAGTGAGGGCATTGGACCCTGGAAAGATACATGCGTCTCCCCCGTTCAAGAGAACAAAAATTTAACAGGACCAGAGACATGAGAGCGGTTTCCCTTCTTGGCATGTTTTTACACAATCCAATGCCATATTTTGCAACTGTTCCTCAATCTCCTCCATGGGCGAACAAGCATCTATGATCTGCATCAGGCCAAAATAAATTTTATCTCTTCACGATATCCACATAACTCAACTCACCCAAGAATAATATGCTTCAATGCAAACCAAATTTTTTTGACAGTCTAGCAGGCTTAGTTGTTTCATGATTAAAGTTTCAACAGCTACTGCGATAAGCCTGAATTTGGTTACTATAAAATGAATACCAACTTGCAGCATCATTTCAACATAAAATGTGTAATCATCAGATAATGGCAGTCCAGCCAGTGTAGAAGTTACAAATATGGAACAGATTTCGAATTAGCATTTGTTGGGAAACAGAAGAAAATTTGACATCAGGCGAAGAAATTGGATTTGGCATCATTCTCTCTGTGTGAGGTGACTTCATTTCCCGGTCAGTTTATTCTTTTTCTTTTTATCTTTTATGAAAACCATTCAATTTATTCTTTAACTGCCACTACAGGAAAATAGATTCAATATTCCAGTACCAATTTAAAACTCGTTGAAAATTGAATCCAGGATGACACGCTCAAGATAGCATCACAATCAGAAGCAAATATCGGGATTCTTTATTGCAATGCAATTTAAGAATGGATCAATGAACTACCTTCCAAGTGGGACCACGGAGGACCTGATAGTTTTGGCCAACCTTCTTTTGAAACTCAAGCTGCTCATATCTCTCACCTCCATAGCCTCCTCTTTCAGCAGCTTTCTGACAAATATAATTTCAGTTCAATAGGGGAAAAGATTACTACTTCCATATAATTTTCAAAATCCTCACAATACTAAGGCCCATGTGATCCTTTTCATAAACAATATATATCGGCATAAGCACCTTAAAATATCAGCAGTTAGTCATAAGGGGCCAACAATATATATTGGTTCCTTAGTTCGAGATGCCATTAACTCTGCAAAATTGATGCTTATCTAGGAAATTTCTTTTGAGGATATGTCAGACCATATAAGCTATTAACTGTGAAAAATTGTTTCGCGGAAGTTATGTCAGACCATATAAGTAACAAGCAATAAAAGAGGAAATTAAGTCCTTAACCATGTTCAAAATTAGATATATAATTATACAGAAAATTAACACTCCAACATCCAAAATTGCAAAATATGGGTTAAGTCTTCGTGTTTTTCTTCCCTCACTGTAAACATTAGAATGACTACTTACTTCAGGTGGTATGTCAAGGTACACTAAAAGATCTGGAGCCAATAACCCAATCTCTGGAGCCTGGAAAAGAATACTTCGTTGTTTTTAAATTCCATCAGATAGAGAAGATAAACATCATTAGGGGTTAAAAAAAAAGGCATTTCACCACCTTACACCATTCAATATCAAGTCCTTTGGCAGATGAAAAGGCCACCCCCGAATAAGAATAACGGTCAACAACAAGGGTGATTCCACTTTTCAATTTGCTTTCCATCAATGATCTGCATAAACATTACAGATTTAGTACACTGATTTGTGATCACCTCATTCTTCATCCAAGAAATGATTTTAAAAAACATTGAAGTGCACACACTCTTATAGTAATCAAAATAGGGATTCAACAAATTAACAAGCCAATGATTATGCCATACAACAAAGGGCATGGATTTCCCCCCCTCATAAGTTATTCCCCATCTTTTGTAAAGCACTGCCTAAGAGAACCATGCCACATGATGAAAACCTAAGCAAACATGATACTGAGCTTTATATTTGTACTCTGCCCTTACTCATTAGATGGTTCAGTTTAACTTGTAAGTTAAACATAACATGGAAACACCTCAAAATTTATCTTTTCTAAAGTATGTGTTGTTGAAATAACATCCTGCAACCATATATCGGTCTCATTCAGGGAGCTGAGAAATCTAACTGTGGAATACATGAGGTTATTGTCAAATTTGATGTAAACCAGCACCAGGACCTGTAAAAACAATTGCTTTGGATGCCCATACAGACTAGAAGCCTACAGAAACAAAAATATCAATCACTTGTTTCCTCACTAGCCATAAAACTGAAGTTACCTTCACTGCTTACATATGTGCTTATGATTTCATTAACATATTTTATTGATCACTATGCTGCTTCTCAACTCAAACCAGATTTTTACACAACTCAATCATTGCATTCCCATTTCATAAGTTAAAAACTAAAACAACAATCAGAACAAGTGCAATATCTGTCCTATTATAGAAAAGCTCAGAAACAGAGTATATCATATTGCAAAAAATAACACAACAAACCTCTTCTCCCAACGGTTAGCACTAAAGAGTAGATGGATTGTATGATCATCCAGTTGGGATTTGTTGGAAAGATAAGAAGATATCATTTGCCCAACACTTGTCGTTCTGTCAGGAAACCGCCACAATTCAGCTGAATGCCCTAAACTCTCCAAGTTTGCAACTAGTCTATTAGACTGCGTAGTCTTGCCACAACGATCCAAGCCTTCCAGAACAACCAAGGCACCTCTTGAATCCTCCTTGCCACCTCTTAGGCTACAGTTGTGATTATTATTTTCCATCCGAATCCTCCTGATAAAAAACTTGTGGGGAAAGTTTAATTGAAAGTTCAATGACCTTCGCACTGCTCCTGCTCCAAAATTCCTAGAGAAGCAAATGCACTCTATTAAAGGAGCCCTCAACTTAAATCAATCTCGACCATTTCTGAAACATACCATCCTTTTTATTTATTTTTTAGAAAATGCAGAAGTTTTGAATTTCAGGACATAAAAATCCACCGGAAAAAAATGAAATCTTTTTGGCTTATAAACTCAACGAACCAAAAGGAAACTAATTTTATGTTTGAATCCTCCTCCTATTCCTCACTTTTCTCAGCAATCCAAACTGACACAGCGAAGTATCTCCAGGAAACAAGTAAATAAAAATGTATGAAGATCAAGAGTTAAGAATTCTTACAAAGCCTTGCCAAATGTGAGATAAGAAGTATGGGTCATGTCCCTTACTTCACCAAAAAACTGGAAAAAAAGAAAAGACTTCACCAAAAAGTTATAGGCAGACACTGACGCTTTTGATAATTGTAAACTTGGCTTGACATTGGCTCATCTTAAAGGCACGTTATTTGCTCAAATCAAATCACCAATATTTGTACGCAAAATTGACAAAATCCAATTCCGGTGGTGTTCCATAATTCTACAGCAAAATTGAAAAAATAAAAATAAAAAAGCGGGAAAGCTTACCTTGAGCGATTTGGTTATCTTCTTCTCAAAAAAGTTATTTACTCTTCTCTGTGATCAGATTGTCCAAACAAAAAACGCTTAAAAAAGAACCCTAAGCTAGGAACTTACTGTTTCCGGCCAGTAAGTACGCCGCCGGTTGAGGAAGAGAGGAAGAGAGCAAGAGAGCTGGACTGAGGGTTTATATATTTTGTTTCTGTGGTAAATTATAAAGTGTAAATTGTTATTTGTCCTAATTAATCACACACTAACAAGTTTGTCATTAGCATAACCGCTAAAGTCAGATCGGACGGCTGAAATCGCAAAATATCGTGTATAGCAGTTATCCAAGGGCCGACATCTGTTTTAACCGAGATTTAAAAGAGAAGGCTTAACAGTCAAGGCAGTGTCGTTTTTTAAAAAAACTCTTTTTCATTTTCTTTTTATTATTTTTGAAGTAGGGACTGGCTGGCGAGAGCCAAGTCGTGGGCTTTGCTCTGTGGGAAACAAAGAAAGCTCATTGTTGAAGGTCGTCTTCTTAGTCGTTTCGGGCGGTACGGGTCGTGATCCGGACAGCGTTCAATTCTAAGGTTTTTTAGGGCTTTAGTCACTGTGTACGCTCTACCCTTCTCAGCTTCTCTATCTTATTTCTCTAAAATTCTGAACCTTGATTTATCCTCGCGCAGAAGATTGTGTAACTTTGATCGCAAGAGGGCTTTGGAACTCAATTGGGCAGCTAAGCAATAGCTCCTGGTATTTTTCTAGGGTTTTGGGTCACTTCAAATTTTGGAAGATTTATGTTTTATATGGTTGAACTTTGTCGAGTTGGTTGCTGTTCAAGATTAGGGTTTTAATTCAATTCTAGAGTTGTATACTTGGTGTGTAAAGATTGAGCTTTGGAATTTACCCAAGATTTGAAATTACTGTTTTTAAACTTGGTGATTTGTGCTTCTTCTTCTGGTTTTTTTTCTTCTTCGTTTTGATTATTTAGTTTTTGTAAGTTTCTTAAATGAAACTATCTGTACTAAGCTTTCTTCTTAGTCTGTTTTGTTTCCTCGAAAATGGGCATTATTGCTCCTTCCTAAGCAACCAAACTGACCCCTTTTTGTTCTGTTATAAAGAATAGTGCGATGGCCAAGAAGAACAAGAATCCTGGACGGGGAGGGTATTATGGTGGTGCTTTTGAGCAGGCTGGTGAATGCGAGGGCTCTGGTAGCTCTGGACGAATTGATGCCGAAATTACTGCCTCTGAGGATTCAAGTGCTCCAACAAGGAAATGTATTAGTTTGAATTCTAGTAAACGCGACAGTTTTGGTGTGCCCATAGAAGTTCTCCCCCTGTCAAACATGTTGTCCTCCGAAAGGAAAGATTTGCTACATAGGTTGAGAATGGAACTTGAACAGATTCGAATACTTCAGAAGAAAGTTGAAATGCATAGAACCAATGGTGTTACCGTGTCCTCTTCTAGTGACATCCTCAGCTGCAACAATGGCCGGAATGGGCCGCATATTGAAAATCTCCGTAAGTCATCAACATTAACTGGGCAGGGGAAAAAACTGAATCCCGTGGCTTCAAAAGCACAGGCATGGAATCCAGGCACTTCTGGGAGGGTTGAGTCAGTGAATCAGGCTTCAGCACCTAGCACTGCTAGTGTGATTCTGATGAAACAATGCGAGACACTATTGAAACGGTTAATGTCCCATCAATTTTCTTGGGTTTTCAATACCCCTGTTGATGTGGTGAAGTTGAAGATTCCGGATTATTTCACTGTCATCAAGCATCCGATGGATTTGGGTACGGTAAAGACCAAGATAGCTTCAGGATCTTATTCAAGCCCATTGGAGTTTGCTGCTGATGTCAGGACTACCTTCACCAATGCTATGACCTACAATCCACCAACAAATGATGTCTATGTCATGGCTGATACTCTTAGTAAATTTTTTGAAGTCAGGTGGAAAACCATTGAGAAAAAACTGCCAAAGGCTGATTGCCAACCACCACCAGCTAAATCTGGTCCTCGTGAAGCGGTGGAAACTCCTAAGCCATTGCCCCCTGCGAAAAAGAGGATGATCACGTCACTGCACCATGAAGTCAAGTCTGAGCCTGCTAAGCAGGTAATGACAAAGGAGGAGAAACATAATCTGAGCAGAGATTTGGAGTCTTTGCATGGAGAAATACCTTTACTCATCATTGATTTCTTGAGGGAACATTGTTCAAATGGAAAGGACTCTGAAGAGGATGAGATTGAGATTGATGTTGATGATCTAAGTGATGATACCTTGTTCACATTGAGGAAGCTTTTAAATGAGCATTTGCAAGAGAAACAAAAGAACCATGTGAGGGCTGAACCTTGTTCAATAGAGGTATTAGCTCGACCTCACCTTCTTCCTGTTCCTGGAATCAAATTAGATTATATATGCCTGAAGCATACATTGTTTTCATTATTATTGCAGCTTTTGAACGAATCAGGGTTGAGCAATTCATCCATGCAGCCATGCAAAGGTCATATTCTTCTTCATCTCCTTGCATATATAAATTCTGACTTCAGTTTTAGGACGTATGAAACACTTTGTTTTTGCCTCCCACGTATGTTCATTTCTAGGGAATGACCCAGCTGATGAGGATGTTGATATTGGTGGAAATGAGCCTCCTGTCTCAAGCTATCCTCCTGTGGAGATAGAAAAGGACACAGGCTATAAAATTAGTAAAGGCATCAGCTCAAGCAGCTCCAGCGGTAAATTGAGTTTGTTCTGTTGTGGTCTTTCTTTGGTTAGATCCCTCATATGTTTTGTTTCTTGACTATTCGTCCTTGTTTGAGGTCTTTCACAGTTTTGGTAATGATTTCCCTTTTCTTCACTGGAGTAGAGCTTGTTAGAGCAAGCTTTTATTTCTCTGCTTTCATGCCTTCAATTATATGATGTTTGACTTTTAATTGAATGGAGGAAAAACAAAGAGTTATTTATGCTGGTGAAAGAGTAATGTGAATTCTATCTGTTTGTGAATTCATAAACACTAAACAATTTTGTATTTTATGTATGCTTCACAGATTCAGATTCTAGCAGTTCTGAGAGTGAATGCGATGATGCTAAGGCCTCAAGTCCGGTAAATGTATCTAAGCTGTGTGAAAATTTATGTTAAATATATAAATCAAAATTGCTTCTCTCATGATGGATGGTGGTTGTGCTGTGCTATTGATTTTGTATGGTACAGTAGTGTATTGTTGGTGGTTTGACTGGTGGACCTGATGTCATACTTAATTCTTCTTCAGGTACCAGAAACTGTAGGTTCTGGAGCTGAGTTAGATGAAAAGACAATTGATAATCGCCTTGAAGGAAATCGTGAGTATTTTAAAATAAAATCACATTCCTCCATCCATTCGCTAGGTGTTGCATAGAAATAATTTTGGTATACAATTTCCATTCCTTGAAAAACCATAAAAGAGAAACACAGGGTGTGTAGAAAATAGAGTACATGATTATAGATAATATTAGGGAATCCTTTGACAATGTCCTGGGCAGGGTACACTTCCTGGACACCATCTATGGTAGAATTAGCTTGGATATCACCATTGAATGATTGTGTTTAATAAATGAGTAATATTGCTTGTATTAGTTTCGAAGAATGTCTTTTGAGTAATATTGCTTATGTGATCTCAAATTTTTTAACACTACAGAATTAAATGGCAGTTTTCTCCAACAAAGACCCCTTACCTCATACAGTAGTGGACAAAGAGGTGGGAAACAAGGACACAACCTTTCTGTAGGATTTCTCAACAGAGAATTTAAAAAAAAATGTGCTTTCACTAAGAATACCAAGAAAATAGGGGAAAAGGAAAAGAAAGACGAAACTCTGTTGTATTTAAAAATATCGAAGCCTGCCTCTTATTCCTGCAAAAGGCTTTTATGTGTAGAGCTTAAGCCTCTAAAGCAGTAGGAAATCTAATTAAAGCAGGGTCATAAATAGAGAGGAAGTACCTTCCTGCTTAAAATAGAGATGGAAGTGTTTGGAAAAGCATATCTTGTTTTGTGTTGCCAGATGCATTTGATCTGTCTATGGTTTCTTTCATGTCTAATAAACGTGATATCTTATATGCTGCAATCTGATAATTGATTATTATATTTATCTTGTAGATTGGGAATAAATTTAGTTCATTTGGGGACTGCCAATGATTTTAACAACCATCTTGGTTGTACTCTCCTATAGACATGGCCTACACTTCTCTGAAATGATTGAGCATATGAATTTTGAATTTTGAATTTCTTATTGATGATTAATATTTCTAATCCATGGGATCTTGCAGAGTCTGATAGTGGGTTGGATCAAGTTGAACAAAGTTCCCAGCGGAAGCCAAGTCCTGTGGAGTCAGATTGTTGTCAGGATGGTAAGCCTAAGAGTTAAAAAAAACAAAAACTTATGACGTGGGTTTGTGGTAGTATCTCATTGTTCATCTCTCGAAAAAATTTAGGGGACAGTGCTCCCACAGAGAGGCCGGTCTCCCCTGAGAAGCAGTACAGGGCTGCTCTATTGAAGAATCGTTTTGCTGATACCATTTTAAGAGCTCGAGAGAAAACACTTAATCAGGTGGGTTACAGAGTCAGGCTACTTGTATACTTACCGTGTTTGTATGTATCCATTTTGCAAGTATTTTCTACTCTGGATGTGATCCGGTGCAATTTGATCTGGCTGAGATCAGGGTGACAAAGGAGATCCTGAGAAATTGCGGCGGGAGAGGGAGGAACTTGAATTGCAACAGAAGAAAGGTTGTGATCTTTACGTTTAAAGTTATACTTAGTGGTTTACATCAATTCCTTAGTGTGTGCGTGTGTATGTGTGGTTTGCAATGCTGGGTTGATAATTCATAGACATCTCCTGGTTTATTAAACTGAAATTTTTGTTGAGATCTAGCAGCTGATTATGTTGCCAATATATAAGCAGAAAAAGCACGGTTACAAGCAGAAGCCAAGGCGGCCGAGGATGCTCGAAGGCAAGCTGAAGCAGAAGCTGCAGCAGAGGCTAAAAGGAAGAGGGAGCTTGAGAGAGAAGCAGCACGGCAAGCATTGCTGCAGGTAAATCATCGCACCCTCCTTATGTTGCAGAAATAGAGCCCTTTAATTTGTGTGGATATTTATTGGGACATTTGATGCCATGTGTACTACAGATAGAAAAGACGGTTGAAATCAATG